AAAGGCAGGGGTGAGTAAGCGCAGTCTGTCCACTTCTCTCCACAGGACAGGTGGGTTGGTGTGGGGGCAGTGGCCACGTTTACCCACCTACGCGAAGAGATGACTGTCCTAGGGTAAATGAAGTGGCCAGGCTTTTCATGCCACTGGCATCTGTGGCTGTCACCTGGGGCCTTGAGTGTGTTATCGCAGAAGGTGCTTGGGAGCGGGGTGCCAGGCAGGTGCGTCTGATTGTGGACACCTGGAGTAGGGGTATGGCCATGCGGCGTGCACACCTGAGCCCAGGGCTGGGGAGGTAAGGGCGGCATCACCCGGACAGCTATGAGAAGAGTGACCACCGAAGAGGAGAGATCACGAGACAATGTGCCAGAGAGCCCAGGGAAAGCAGATGGATTCCTGGGGGGCTCCGTTGCCTCCAGAGCCTACTGGACCCCTGCCTGACCTGAGCCCAGTTGCCCCACTAGAAACATAAACCCAGTTCTTGCCTGCTTCTTTCTGTTCTTGACCCTGTCCTCTGTTACTTTGCAGACCTCCATTACTTTGAACCCTGATTTCCCTCCATCCCTGGGTTAGGGTGTCCCTACCTGGAATCTGAGCTACTGTCCAGGGGGATCAGGCAGCCCCTGGTCAGAAGAGGCCGGGACCCTCCTGTCAGCAGGCTGGCTGTTCTCTGGCATGTTGGTGGCTGGGCCAGCATTTTCCACACAATGTGGGGGAAACTGAGCCAGCCTGTGAGGTTGGGGGTGGTGGGGTTGTCTGCTGCCTGGGTCACCACAAGGTAGTCCCCCCCCCTCAGAAACAGGAAGGGGCAGGTGGAACTGCTGAGATGCTGGTTTGGGCTGGAGCTGACTAAAATGGCTGAGCCGCTCTGTGAGTGAGCTCTGAAGCCAGGGCACTGTGATTTACGGCACTGTCTGGCATCACCAGAAGGGAACTTATCTTGGCAGAATGTCAGACTTCACAGCCAGCCTTGCTCATAACTCGTAGCCAACCATGAAATATCAGGCTGCACCCTAAACCCTCCCCTTTCCCACCCTCTCCATCCTCACGACTTTTCTTTCCACACCAGCCATCCTGTCTGGTCAGAAAAAGTTCAGTGGGGTTAAAAATACTATATCCCTCTACACATCTGGGTTCCTGCCTGCCAGCAGACTTGGAGAGAAGGAATTCCCATCTCCAGACTCCCTTTCCCTCTCCCAGTTCTTTAGCTGCTCCCTGGGGCTGACCATGGAGCTCAGTAGCTCCTTCCCCAAGAGAGTTAGGACATCTGTCTGCAGAGACCTCTTTGCTGTATGATGAAGGATCAGAAAAGCCTTTCTAATAAGACAGACTTGAGGGAAAGTCATTGTTAGGAGACATTCTGGACACATCTTCATGTGTGTGGGGGGACGGAGGAGAGGTCAAAGATAAGGAGGGCCAAGGAGCAACTGATAGAGAAAGATCCCTTAGGAAGGGAAGATACCTTAGGAGGGAGATTCTGGCTTGAAGGAAAACCTGTAGGACTTTGGGGATACCCTGAGGACTGCCCTAAAGAGGAGGAGGCCTCACTCTGGAAAGTGTGATTTTTTGTTAGTAGTGATCAGCTAGGCACCAGTCTGTATGTGAGAAGTGACTGCTAAATTTTCAAGAATTTTGCAAGCCACTTAAATGTTTCTTTGGTAGACTGAAATTAACCATGGTGGGAATATTTACACTGTGGAAATGGGCCGGTGCAGATGAACTCCCACTCCAGAGCCAGCTGGTAAAGGCACACCACTGTGCACCACACATGGAGAAATGATCTGATTTGCGGTTTGGGACTCACAGAAAGAGCTGAAGGAGAGGGAGTAGAAGATGGCAAGAGAGGGTGACGTGATGCATCATGGGACTTGCTAGCCAGGGAAGAGAGGCCTAAATGACTGGAGGGTAAGTGAAGGGCAGGGATGTGAAGTCTTGGTCGGGATGGGGTCAATGAACAAGCAGGTGTAATGGGAGCCCAGGAGCAGATGAACTCAGGTAGTAGTCTTCACTGAGGATTTGTGGGGGGTGGGGGTGTGGGGAGTGGGGTGTGGGGGGTGAGCACAGATCAAGCCCCATGGTACATGCACTGCGACACGGCCCTGGCAGGAATGGAGGGCAGGGAGTCACTGACCTCTAGGCCACGGTGTCAGAATGGGCCAGTCTCAGTGCACTGGAATCATACTAACAACCAGGCAGGCATGAGAGTAGGGGGAAGCATGTGACCCAAGCCTGTAATGAATGGGGCAAAATGATCAACAGTCCGTGAGACGTTTAGGGCAAGCGCAGCAGCAGGAGTTGGGCAGAGGACGAGACCATCAGAGGAGAAGGGACCTGTGCCCCAGGATAGAAGTCCCACCCCCTCCCACACAATGAAACAGAGTATTTCCTAAATGCTGACTGAGTTAGGGGTCAACCCAGATGCAATGAACAGCAGAGCTCAGCCTGGGCCTTTTGATCGCCATGAAAACAGGCCAGGCTTTCTGAAGGAATGGCCGCTAGAAGTCCAGGGGAAAAAAGCACAAGCTATGCCTGAAGCATCTTATCAGACCTGAAGTTGAGGAAAAGCTCACATCTCTCTGGTTGTGACAGATCTTAGGGGCCAACTTAAAAGTCAACCTCAACCACGATGTCTACAATATGACAGATTTTAAAATCATGGTTGCACAATATTCACAAAACCCCCGTAGGTCAGCATTGGGAAGCATATTAAGGAATTAACTCTACTTCTGATAAAGGAGATCATGGCACATGATCTTTTCTCCTGCACTCTTTTCCTGCAGAGACCTTATTTCAAGCAACCAAAGAGCTAGTGCCAAATTCCTTTCAGAAGTCGAGTGTATGAAAGCAGAACGAATGACAGAAATCAGGTATCACTGCTGTTAAGCCCTGGGATAGAATGGGTTCAGGCCATCCATTGTCAACTGCTGACAGGACACTTTATAGTGGACAGACCAGGCTGACCACCTCTGAGTCCCCCATTAATTCTAACAAATCTCACTCTGTCAACCAACCTATGTATGTGAAACAAACATCAACAAAAAAAAAAAAAACCAAAAAAAAACCACAGCACAGCGCACATACACTAAAAACAATAAAAAATATAGAGCTGATATATTAAAATTTTAGAGCACACAAAAAGGGGGGGGGACAACAAGCACCAACAAAGCAACAATAAGAAGGAGGAGTAGTTATGATACGAAAAAAAAGAAGCAGCAGAAGAACTGTGTGCTTCCACTTATGTGAAGTATCTAAACTATCAAAACTACAGAATCCAGAGCTGCTTGGGTGCTTGTTGAGGGGCAGAGGAGGGGCTAGAAGATGCTAGTCAAAGAGCAAAGTTTCGGTTAAGCAAGATGCGTCTGCTGTATCATGCCGTGCCTCCGAGTGCGCATTCCACAGTTGGCAGGGTGGATCTCAGGCTAAGTGTCCTAAACACGATCATAAGAAAAGACAGGGGGCTGGATCTGCCTCCCGCAGTGGTCCTGCTTCCTGCATTGCTCCACACCTGCCAGGCACCCCTGGACGCTGAGGGTTCCATGGGCTTCCGGGCCAGTGGGGGCAGTTCGACACTAAACAAGCAACACAGAGATGTGAGCACAGCTGAGGAAGTAGCACGGATGAGAGTCTGTGCCCCACGGGAGAAAAGACAGACAGAGACGAGGCCTCTGGGAAGTCCTCTTGCAGAGGGGCAGGGACAGGGCAGGACGGCTGGGAGGGCCGTCCAGACAGGGACGAGCAGGTGCGCGGGCATGAGCTGGCTTGGACAGCAACGGAGGTGGGGGAAGCAGCGAGCGAGGGAGGGGAGGCTGCAACGCCAGGAAGCCTCGCCCAGGGCCCGCCTAACAGGAGGGGTGCCACATCCCGCGTTTGTCACCCCTGTCCTGGTTGTGCTTCCCAGGGTAAATATTCACAGCGCCACGTTTTGGTTAAGACAATATAATAAACTTGGAGGTCACTCTCGGACGCCATGGTGGACGTTTGGACTTGGTCCCCAGGGCAGTGGGAAGCACCTTGGGCTTTGGTAGAAAGGGGCATTCTAATTCACAGCGTGGAAAGGTCACCCTGGCTCTGTGTGGAGAAGGCCTGCGGGGGAGTAGCGGGAGGCCGCTGTTCCTTTCCTGACTCAGCACAGTGTGAAGGGAGTGAGGCCTGGGAAAGGCACGGGATGCCTGGCTTGCAGCCCTGAGCTGCAGGTGTGGGCAAGAACTTAGGGCCGGTGGGTCCCCAGGGTGCTGTCCCCTCCCCCTACTCTGCTGACCCAGCCCCTGACTTGCTAGCATGGGTGCAAGGAGCCCATGAAGACACCTCCCAGGAGGCAGGGAGGCGGGAGGAGACAAGCAGGAAAGTTCCCCGGAAGAGCTAAAGGATGCAGCAAGTTTAAAACATGATGATTAACCCCATCAACTCTCTATTTGACAACCTGCCCCAGTCCCTTTCCTTCTCTCCTCCACCCAGACACTCCAGGCCCTCCACCTCCAAGAGGGGATTTCAGAACAAGGGCCCAGGGCACTGGGAGGGTCTCAGAGCTCAGCAGCTTCTAAACTGTGTGACCCAGGAGTGAGCGGTGGCTCCTGGCATCTCGGGCTCTACACGCTGGTGCCGGGACCTGCTGCCCGGGAGTGAATGAACACACCTAGACCCACCCCGGGGTGCATCTACCTCAGGGGTAGGCATTTCTATCTGGGAGATGGCGGGGAGATGTGACCAGCACATGCTCAGCCCACCACATGCCCGGCTCAGCTGTCGCACGGATTTCCATGCAACTCGATCTTTCATATTTTGAGAGACCAGGAGTGTGACACAGCCCCGGGCTTGTAATGACAGCCAGGAAGGGAGGAGCAGAGTGGCTAACTTGGTTGTCCCCCCAAAAGTGGAACGTGGGCACCTGTCTCAGTCAACCTTCCACGTTGAGGTGGGGTCACCTGAGAGCCCATGGCTGTCCAGGGGCAGGGAGGAACAGTCACTGCTCAGGAAAGGGAAGGGGTGGGGGGCTGGTCACTCACCGAGGGGCAGGACGAAGAAGAAGGGGAACCAGCAGAGCACGAAGGCGCCCACGACGATCGCCAGGGTCTTGGCTGCCTTCTTCTCGCGGGAGAACTTGAGCAGGCGCACAGACAGCGAGCTGCGGAAGGTGTGGCCCTTGGCGCTGCGCATCCTCCCGTGCGCCCCGTCTGCGTTGGTGCCGGCACCCCGACAGTGGATGCGCAGCACCACGTCCGAGGCCTTCCCGCGTTCGCGCTTGACACCGGCCTCGAGGCTGCGGGTGGTGCTTCGCGCGACCACATAAACACGGCAGTACATGACCAGGATGATGGCCATGGGCAGGTAGAAGGAGCACACGGAGGAGAAGACCGCGTAGCCTGCCTCCTCGGTGATGCCGCAGAAACGCTCGTCCAGGGGCACTGGCTCCTTCCAGCCCAGCAGCGGCCCCACGGACACCACGAGGGCCACCACCCAGAGCAGCGCCAGGATGGCCGCCGCCTTGCGCTCCGTCATGATGGCCGGGTACTTGAGCGAGTGGCGCACGCCCACATACCGGTCCACGGAGATGGTGCAGAGGCTGAGGATGGAAGCTGTGCAGCACAGCACGTCCACGGCCGCCCACACATCACAGAAGGCCCTGCCGAAGGCCCAGAAGCCCAGCACTTCCATAGTGGCCGAGAACGGTAGCACCGTGGCGCTCAGCAGCAGGTCAGCCACGGCCAGGTTGACTATGAAATAGTTGGTGACCGTCTGCAGGTGGCGGTTGCAGGCCACCGAGAGGATGACAAGCAGGTTGCCCGCCACAGCCAGGAGGATGAAGGCGGCCAGGAAGACGCCCACGCCCACTCCCTGAGCGCTCACCACCAGCCCCTCGACGGCCGCGCTGCCGTTCACCTCGCCGCCAGCGCCCG